TCATCCAGCAGCTGGTGGAAGTAGAAGCAGACACCCACAACTAATCACTGAACTGGAATCCAGATGCAGAGAAGGATGAGTGAAGAGCAAAGGGGTCCAGACCAGGCTGGTGAAACCCACAGAAACAGCTGATCTGAACAACGGGGAACTCTTGCTCCCCAGACTGATATCTGGGATACCAGCATGGGACTGATCCAGACCCCAGGAACATGGGCTTCAGTGAGGAAACCTCGGAAATTTACAGGACCTCCTGTAGTAGTTCAGTACTTATCCCTAGCATAGGTGTGGACTTTGGGAGCCCATTCCACATAGAGAAATACTCCCTGAGCCAAGACACACGGGGGTGGGCCTAGGCCGTATCCCGAAGGATACGATAGACTTTGATAACACACTATGGAAGGCCTCACCATCCAGGGGGAGCAGAAAGGATATGTGATAGATAGGGTTTTAGTGGGGGGGGGAATAGGGGAGGACAGGGGGGGGAGGGAACTGGGATTGTCATGTAAAACAATCTTGTTTCTAATTCAAATAAAAAAATCTGCAAAAAAGAAAAATATCAATTGAGAGAATCAATACAAAGATCCCAGATGAATTTTATTAAAAATGCCACCAATGTATCAGTTTTATGGATTTTATTAAACTTTCTTTCAATCTTGAAAAAAAAAGGAGAGGTGGGCACAATGTCCTCCCCTTAGTAAAGAGCTCTTTGACAGATGACAGCTTCAGGGAGAGGAAGAGTCAGCTTTCTTTATGGGTGTGGCTCCTGGTGGTGGGTTGACCTCCCTCCAGCGAAGGCCACATATCCAGTAGTATGTGTCCAGAATAAACTGTACTTGATGGAGTAAAACAAAACAAAAAAACTGGATACAGAGTTGGGTAGGGAGGGAAGGGGGATGGCACCAACAGAAATTGGGGTGGGACTGAGTATGAACAACATGCATTGTACAAAATTCTCAAAGAACTAGTGAAAATGAGAGGAAGCGCCCTTTTTGTAATTTTTAAAAGAAATTAAAACATTTTGTGGGGAGTTCAAGGGTTGTGCAAACAAACAGCCACTTGGCCACTGTGACTAATGGGAATGCCACTGAGAGACAGTTCTACCATGATCAGACATTACAGACAAGCAATAAAAACCCAGCGAATAGAGAACTGGTACTTAAACTGAAAAAAAAAAAGTAGCATTGTATTATAGTCAAGTAAGATAGCAGACCTTAATCATCTTTACAAAGGACTCCCAGAAGGCATAGGGAAAGCCCCTGAGGACCCCTCTTCTGGCCTCTCTGTCTTCCAGTTTCTACAGCCCCTGGCCTTTGCTTTGCAGTTCTGCATGCAAAGTTGAATACTTCCTGTTTACTGAATTAACAAATGAAAACTTGCTCTGGAAAAACGGCCTTCAGGCCTTGGTGTGGTTAGTAGTTTGTTCCCAGCTCAGTTAAGTTCATTGCAAGAGGGTTAATATGAAGTTAGCTTTCACGGCCCCATGGGTGAAGCAATCACAACCTCCAGAAGGTTCCTTCAGATGTCATGCTGCCGGGTTCTGGGTCTCTGAGGGCCAGGCTCTCATAGGCTAGAGCTCGCTCCTTCCCCTTTGCAAGAACTGCCATGGTGTCTGAGAGTACGAGCAGTAACTTAGAGACTTGGTTGTGGGTGAAGAGATCAGTGGATCCAGAGAGTAAGAGCATCTCATGGCTTTGCTAGTTTTTGTGAGTTCTTGAGACACTGGTTCTTCTGGCTTGTGTGAAGACATGCCTTTTAGACTTCTGTTGGCTTCAGGGAGGGGGCTGAGCCCCCAGTGCACATACCTGCAGTGGGTCCTTGGGCTGGAGTCCTGCTCTGTGCTTTCTAGGGCCCTTCTCTGAGCCCTCACTTTCTCAATTTTAGGATGACACTAGCATGAGGTCTGCCGCATAGGACTCCTGTAAGGATCGAAGAAATTAAAATATATCAGAGTGTTAAACATACCACTAAATACTGTGTCCTTCTCTTGTTACTGTTGCTCTTTTCCTGCACAGACCGTTTAACACACATATAATTGAGAGCCCAGGAATGAAGTCAGCTGAAGGGCACCTAGTTCTGCTAGGGCTCCATACAGGTCCTGGCTGCTCTGTTCTGCTGTGTTTAGTTGCCTGGGATTTAGATGCAGCCATCTCCAGTGTGACAATGCTAATGGGAGAGCAAGGCTGTGTGCCCAGATCACCTTAGGCTGCAGAAAAACCTTCCTTTACTGTTCCTCTTATGTCCTTAAAACTTCACCGGAGTCCTTACAGTCCTGGCTATGTGGAGATTTTCTCCTGAATCACCATTTCATGGGTTATCAATTGCAGACATTTGGGTGAGGATTAAAAACATTTATGCTATGTTCTGCCTGCTAGTGAGTGTCATTGACAGCATAGCATCCAATTTGTGGTATGCAGTCTCAATCCTTTCTGGTATAATGGAAGAGAGCACGGTGTTTTTGGTAGAATACTGATCTTGTGTACAATTGAAATAAGTGTGTGTGTGTGTGTGTGTGTGTGTGTGTGTGTGTGTGAGAGAGAGAGAGAGAGAGAGAGAGAGAGAGAGAGAGAATATGTGTGTGCAAAGGAATAGAAACAAAATAAGTACTAATATACAAAAATGAGTTTAGAAAGTGGCACCAGTAAGACACTAATAATAAATGAATGCCCATTTCCTTTTCCCTTAGTGGCACCAGAGAGTTGGAAGGAGTAACAGTAGCTATGGGCACTCTCTTTCATTCTTCCAGTTCTCAGACTTCTATATTTAGCACTCTCTGTTCCTTCACCATTAACCTGTGATCCCTTTAGAACAATAATTGGCATGAATTAAAATAAAAGCTAATCATTGTAGACATGGAAGTAGTTCAAACGTGTTTCTTAAAAAATAATAAAAAAAACCATTTCAAATCCATTTGGTGGCTTAATTTCCTGAGACCATGGTATTTATGATCCTCTAATTCAGGCAGTGAGTTGATGGCCTTAATTTCTCCTGGCGATAATGGATTCTTGCATTCATTTGCTTTTCTTGAAGTCACTTCTGTATAAAAATCTATTTCTCCATTTTTCTGGGAAAATGTAGATGGCTATTCTGTCTGGTTTGAGTAGCCAGTATTGTATGATCTATTTTGAAAACCGTGGTTATTCAATATAAAACTTGGAATTTTTTTTTAAACTTTAAACTGTTCTACTTTTGAAATGGTTTTCAGACCCACATAGTTTGGCACTGATTGCTGATGGTGATGCTTTCTCCTAAATCATTGTCACTCTGTTTCTTAGCTGCAAACCCTCACTACTTTCTGTTTCTCCCCCCAGGAAGTAGAAGACCATGTGGCATTTTTAATAACAGTTCCCACTGCCCTGGCAATTTTCTTTGCCATATTCATCCTTGTCTGCATCGAGTCTGTGTTCAAGAAGCTGCTCCGCGTGTTCTCGGTGGTGATTTGGATATGTCTGGTTGCCATGGGATACCTGTTCATGTGCTTTGGAGGTACCGTGTCTGCCTGGGACCAGGTAAGGGGTCAGCACACTTTCGTGAATTACATCTGTGAGCTTTGATTCAAGCCTTACTTGGTTATGTAGACTTCACCTTAGACTCTGAAAGGAAGGCATGACTGAGAAAGAAGGTTTAAAAAATGTTTATCTTTTAATTGACAAATAGTCATTGTGTATTATGGATTATAATGTGACACTTCGATGTATATGTGGTTTGTAAAGTGGTGAAGCCAAGGAAATTAACGTATCAAACAGCTGTCTAAATTATCCTTTTTGGAATGAGAATGTTCAGAATCAACTATTAACAACATTTTTTGACATAGGGTCTCACTTATGTGGCCATAGCTGGCCTAGAACTCTCTACTACATGGACCAGGGTAGCCTCATATTCATCGGCCCCTCTGCCTTTGACTACTGAGTTGAAAGGCATGTACCACCACACCTGGCTCTTTTTAGCAGTTTTGAAATATCTATTATTATCGACAGAAGTCAGCATACTGAACAATAAATCACCAAATCTCTTTCTTTCTGTCCAGTTGAAAGTGAAATAAGCTAGACACAGAGAAAAAAGTCCTTTGAAATATCTATTGTAGAGAGGCTGGATAGCTGAGGTCATACAGTGCCTGTTGGAATTCATCAGTCCTGCTGGCAGTGGGGCTGGGCTGGTCCCTGGCCCTTTGTTTGGATAGTGGAGCCACTGCTTGGTGTAGTCTGGAGTTTAGTGTCATCACTTAGTGTGCTCTGACTGTCTGAGGCTGGCCAACACACAAACTCCTTCTTTGTTGCACCATCTTTCTATGTAAAGATCAATACCGTTGACACCGCTTTCCTGTGACCCACATGATCACACCTGGTGAGTAAGCTGGCTTCCTGTTCCTGCTGCAAACTAACGACGTTTTGCTCCGGCTGGGGCTCTTGACTTAGAATCTGCCCATATCTGGGTGATGTCATATCTTAACAGTGTGGTCCAGCCTGTGATGCTGCTTCTGCCTTGTGAGTGGATCCTCTCGTTTAGCTGTCTGGTGGCTTGGTCCAATGATGTGTCATGTAGGGGAAAGTTGTAGGTTGAGGATAGTTGGGCAAGATGCTAGCTTAGTTTTCATAAATCAACCCCCCTTCCCCCCCGTCCCAGGAATGAGAGATTCAGCAGCCCAGAGTCTTCTCACAGGGGACAGAAGACAAGGGTCTGGAAACAACAAAAGCAAGCTTTGGGCTGAGAAAATAGAGAGGAAGACACTGATGGAGACCCGGCACCAAGATGGGAATGGATGAAATACATACACCGTTGAGAGTATTCTTAGTGTGCCTATTATGGGCTGAGCTCCAAGACAAGCACGCTAGGGACCTGCTAGCCTAGGCTTATGTGAGCAACACCAAACTGTCACTGTCCTGGTTCGCGCTTTCTGCCACAGAATAAAGGCACAGCAGAGTGAATTCAAGTTCATCTCACTCTAAAATGGCACTGTCATGGACAGTGGAAACAGTGGGTGACTTTGCCTTCTCCTCATTGCTTCCCCTCAAGCTACTTAGAGAGTTCGGCATGCACCCCTGTGCTCTTGCCCGCCACCTCCCTTTCTGTCCTTGTTCTGCACACCTGAGGTCAAGTGCACCCCTGCCTTCATACTAGTCCACAGCTAACATCAGCTTGGGCAGTCAAAGGCACTTTGCTGCTAGATGGCATGAGCTTGGCTGCGGTCCTTTTTAGGTCACTGGGACCACTGCGTAGGACTAGGATGTGTCCTTTCTGGAAGGCTAAGGTCCCTTCCTTGTTCACAGCCTTACATTTCTGAATCGGTTTGTCATAGTCAGTGGAAAATCCAGTTGGTATCTGGTGTTATAGTTTATTAAATTGTTGACATTCTGTTTTGCATGAGATTTAAATCTTAAGATTCTAAGTGTGGGGGGATATTAAATTAAAAAAAGAAGAACACCAAGAGATTTTCCGTAGATCCTTCCCTGTCTGAGATGAAGTGTCTCTTAAAAAGTCTGATGTGCTTTTTGTAGCTTTTGAAGACATTTCCTTCTTTATAAAATTAGCAATTTTTTTGTTGTCTTATAAATGGAATTTTAAAATTACTTTTTTCATGCCCATTTTGGCATGTCTATTGTTGTTGTACTTGCTCAATTCATAATGCACACACAGTTAACATTATACAGACTGAGTAGGTTACATTTGGGAATAAATAAGTCTGTACACACATGCATGTAACAGCAGTTAATGAAAAAGGAGGCCATGAATTTGAAAAAGAGCAAGGGGTGTCCATTGACAGCCTTGTAGAGACAAGGTTGAGTTTGTCATTTCTAGTTTCTAAGAGGTGTCTCTGATACTGTACAACCCTCAGCTCTGTCACACCTTACTTATCCTCTCCTGTGGACAATGCTATGAAAAACAAAGGCACTTTAAGGAGTCAGCACACTCTAAGAACCTAACTCATCTTCCAGAAGCTAAGGGGTAAGGCCAGGAGCACCAGTCTCTGCCCAGGAACCTGTAGAGCAAGTATTGGGAGTCTTGGGGCTACAAGCATCCCAAGAGTCAGTCCCCCTGATGAAGTTTCACGAAGGCTGACAAATGATGTCAAGATGACCCGCATACCATGAGGTAGACCTTGAGAGTCAAGAACTCATAGAAAATGGCAGTGCTTGCTCGTGGTAGGTGCTGGTGCACGTTTCTGGGATTGTTGTCACCAAAGACATAAGATCTGAGTTGTGTTTGGTGGCTCAGATGTGTTGTCTTCAGGTCTGAAGTCAGAAGCCTGAAACTGTGGTGTGGGCCGGGTCATGCTTTCTCTGTAAGTTCTCCACGAACCCCTCACTCAGCTCTTCCAGCTTCTATTGTGACCATAGCAGCTGGGCATCCTTCATCTCCTTCTGTGTCTTCACTTGGTGTTCTTCCAGTGTGTCACCAGATGCCTCTAGCTTTACTAGAACACCAGTTACACTGGAATTGGACCCCTTAAGTGACCTCATCTTCATTCAAAGAAACCCATATCATTAAAAACAGTGTCTGGCTGGATCTAAATAGTTATATTCGCCTTTCCAGGCTGGTTCTAAATAGTTTTATTCGCTTGTACCACGATTTAGGAATTGAACAGTCTTTTGGGTTGCAGTATTCAGTCTTTGACAGATTCGCTTCTGTAGAGTACATGTTGCCCACAGGGCAGCACTTCTCTCCTGAGGCTTTTCGTATCGCTCTGTTGCTTCCTCTCCTGTCTTAGACTTGAGAACTCTCCTTCATTATCATGTTAATGTTATCATCCTTCCATTTAGAAAGCACGCTCACTGGAGAAGGGAACCTATGTGAACAAAACACTGTTGAGTATTACAGATGTCCTCATGTGTAACTATGTGATAAAGTAATCCACACTGTCAGACAAGGAGACAATGACCTGCTTACTTACATGGCTATAGAGATGCAGGGATCATTCTCTTTATCATTTATGTGTCACAGGAAGTTGGCATATGTTCCAGGAACATCGGGTTCACCCTTCTTGCCTAATACTCTGAAACAAAAAAACAAAAAACAGAAGAGTAGCTTCAGTTTTCCCTGTGAAGCTTAGATTTTTTTTTGATGAAAGATGGAGTTGTAAGTTGTTTTTTTGTTTTGTTTTGTTTTTTGTTTTCATGGTCTCCAATTCATGCTTTTTTATTTTTCCCCACTTCCCTGCCCTCCTTCTCTCTCTCCTTCTACCCTCCTCACTCTGCCACATGCTCTCAAATTACTCAGGAGATCTTGTCTTTTTCCCCTTCCTAGGCAAATCCATATATATCTCTCTTAGGGTCCTCTTTGTTACCAAGGTTCTATGGGGTTGTGTCCTATAAGCTTGGTTGCCCTCTGCTATATGTCCAATATCCACTCATGAGTGAGTATGTGTTATATTTGTCTTTATGGGGTTTGGTTATCTCACTCAGGATGGCATTCTCCAGTTCCATCCAATTGCCTGCAGATTTCAAGATGCCATTGTTTTTTTGTTTGTTTGTTTGTTTGTTTTTGTTTTTTACCACTGAGTAGTATTCTATTGTGTAAATGTAACCCATTTTTCTTACCCATTCTTCAGTTGAGGGGCATTTAGGTTGTTTCTAGGTTCTGTCTATTATGAATAATGCTTCTATGAACATAGTTGAGCAAATGTCCTTGTAGTGTGTGTGTGCATCCTTTGGGTGTATGCCCAAAAGTGGTATAGCTGGGTCTTGAGGTAGATTGATTCCCAATTTTCTGAGAAACCACCATATTGACTTCCAAAGTGGCTGAACAAGTTTGTACTCCTAGCAGCAATGGAGGAGTGTTCCCCTTACTCCACATCCTCTCAACCATAAACTGTTGTCAGAATTTTTTATCTTGGCCATTTTGACAGGTGTAATATGGAATCTCAGAGTTGTTTTGATTTGACTAAGGATGTTGAACATTTCCTTAAGTGTCTTTCTGCCATTTGAGATTCCTCTGTTGAGAGTTCTCTGTTTAGATCTATACCCCATTTTTATTGCATTGTTTGGTCTTTTGATGTCAAGTTTCTTGAGTTCTATATTTTGGAGTTGGTGAAGATCTTTTCCCATTCTGTAGGCCACTGTTTTGTTGACCATGTCCTTCGCTTTACAGAAACTTTTCAGTTTTAGGAGGTCCCATTTATTCATTGTTTCTCTCTGTCTGTGCTACTGGTGTTATATTTGGGAAGTAGTCTCCTGTGCCAATGCATTCAAGGCTACCTCCCACTTTCTCTTCTATGAGGTTCAATGTGGTTGGTTTTATGTTGAGGTCCTTGATCCATTTGGATTTGAGTTTGTGTATGGCGATAGATATGGATCTATATGCATTCCTTTACAATTACAAGTTGACATCCAGTTATGCCAGCACCGTTTGTTGAAGTTGCTGGGTTGTTTTTTTGGGGTGAGAGATGTCATGTTTGGTGAATTTCTGACAAGAGCAAGCCATTCATTCCTTCTTAGTTGTGGTTATTCTGGTTTGTTGAGGCGGGAGTGGCTTGCAGAAGGCTGGAGGTGAGGAAGTGATTTCTGGTCACCTC